CTGGTCCTGGTGGGGCAGCTTTGCAGCCCAAGTGCCAAACAGCAGCAGCAAAGGCAGAACCCAGAAACAGGCCCAGGGCAGGTCCCCACCCACTCCCCTTGCCCTGAGGTGCTTATCTGCATTGTTTGTGTTCCACCTACTTAAACATTCTGGTCAGCCAGCCAGCAAAAAGTTCAGCTTCATCCAGCCTTCTCTGGGCCAAGCTTTGCTCCGCATGCCAACAGCTGGAAAAAATGACCCCAGAGCCTCACTCGTAAGGATGGGGTCCAAATGCGTTCATCTTCCAGCCCTACTCCAGTGTGGATAAACCCCGTAGGAAACCAGACACCATGACCGTGAGCTTAGGTGAGCTGCTAGTTCTGTGCGGTTTTCCCTTCAACAGCCTCACTAGAGTCCTTCCCATGGCAAGCTCAGGGCCAGCCACGGGGGGTGAGACCCCATCCCTGCACACAGGACCAATCATGGCTGATATCCACAGGCTCAGGGGTGCAGACCTGCCCCAGCCTCACTCATGACTCCTAAATCTGGTGGGCTCAAACTGTCACCATTCAGAGAATTTTTGAAGAATCTTGGAGTGGTGAAAGCCTGTCTCAGTATTCCACAAAACTGAAAAGCCATAACATAAAAGACTGCTAAATTTGACTTCAGAAAAATTCCTGCATGGCAAAAATTCCTCCATAAGCAAAGTCAACATCAAACCAGGAACAAAGTACAGTAATGCCTTGGTTTGCAAGCATAATTTGTTCTGGAAACAAACTACTCATATTGCAAGACATTGCTCGTTTACCAAGTTAAAATGTATTAGAAATGTTTGCTCATCTTGTGGAACACTCGCAACCCAAGTTACTCGCAATCCAAGGTTTTACTGTATTTGCAACTCACATCAACAATTAATTTCCCTAATACAGAGATAGCTGCTAGAATAGGCAAGAAAAAAAGAACAACTTAATAGAAAAAAAAAACAGGCAAAGTAAGGAGCAGACAGTTCATAAGAAAGGAACTACAAATTACTTTGAAACAACTGAAAAGATATCCCCCTTATTCATAAGAAATGCAAATAAAACTACACCTAGATACCATGGTTTTTACCTGTCAGAGACCCATGAACGCAATAACACGAGTGGAAGGAAATTAGATCACGTCTATCAAAATGACAAATGCACAAGCCCTTGACCTAAGAATTCTATTTCTAGGAATTTTTATACACGTATACCACACACGTGCACAATAGCCCTAAGCAGACTTATTTATCATGTTATTGTTTGGGTAGCAAATGACTGACTGCAAAACCAGCTTCCAAATCCATGAATAGGGGGCTGTTAAACACCTGAGGACACAACCAAACATTGACCTAGTATGCCGCCATGAAAGGAGGAAGCAAGGTCTCAAGGACTCACGTGAGAAATTAATGTAGAAAGTTCCCCAAGACGTATTGTTAATGGAAGAACAAAGAGCAGGCGTGTGTCAGGTGCCAACGTCTGTGTAGAAACACAAAGCAGACACGTGCTGGTGTGCAGTCATAATTTGAAATATATCTACCCCAAAGCAAAAATTTTAAGTTATCACTCATAACCCTGGTTCTTAACTCTTTGGAGAGTAGAGACCTCTGAAATCTCTGGTTTCTTTCCCCAGAAGAAAAAAAAATAGACCCCTGATCCAGTAGCTACAGTAGATAATAACCCCTGTGATTTTAAGGGTTGAACCACACGGCCATGCTACCTACCGCCACTTAGTGGCCATATTCATGAATTGCAGGCTATGTGCCAATATTGTTAAGCCCACAGCAGTTCCCCTGCCAGGGCAGACTTGCCTCAAGGCGTTTGCAATGTGAAGCCAAAAACTTGTCAATTCCTCCGCACTGGCCATAAGTTAGTTTTAAAAACTAATGCACGCCTTTCCTATATAGGGTCAGATGATTAATCTTACTGCCTTAAGCTGGGGATGATGTTCCCTTATAAAACTCCCACATGACAGAACATTCTTTCATTCCTAGGCTGAGTGTATAAATGGGTTTGATTGATGAAGACATGTGCCCTCTCTGTGGGGATGACAGAACAGCGCCCCTCCCATACAGTTACCGCTTGGCACAAGTCTTGCTGGGTCTCCCCGCTCTTGTGAATGATTCAAATCCCAAGCACTTGACTTGAGCTGTCCCTCCTCACCTCTTCACCCTGTGTCATCAAAAGTGCCCTGAACCAGGAGCCAGGGGCCCTGTACTCTGGTCCCAGCGGAGGAACCAGCTAAGATGCAGCTCCTCTTAAAGCCACTTCCTGAGGGCACACAGCTCCGGGATGGACCTGGCAGCTTCGCATCACCCTGAGCCTCCAGGGGCAGGAGAGGCTGACCCGGCCCAGCACGGCCCACACCCCTGCTTAGCAACGATTCCAATTGCTCGCTACCACCCTTCCCCTGCCAGGGGCCCATGCCAGCCTGGAGTGCTCTTCCCCGGCCCTTCCGCTCTCCAGGAAAACTTCCTCTGGCTGCCCACCCCATGGAGCTGGTCTGAGGGCGACGTGCTCATTACAGCATTTTCCTTCCTGATTTTTATTGTGGCTTGCAGTTCCTTATTAGTCTCTCTCTCTCTCTCTCTCTCTCTCTCTCTCGCTCTCGCTCTCGCTCTCGCTCTCGCTCTCGCTCTCTCGCTCTCTCGCTCTGTCTCTGTCTCTGTCTCTCTCTCTCTCCCCCACCCCATCCCATACCTGCTTTGGCACAGCTCACGGCACATTCTCCACACACAGCACATTGCCTGGTCCGGAGCGCACCCTCAGTAAAGTTTTGTTGACTGAACAAACTAACACAAGAAAGTAAACTGTTTCAGAACATTTCAAGGTGTCCCTGTCCCCAAACATCTATCTTTCAGCCTTGGACGGTGCCTCAGGTTACACACACATACACACACACACACACACACACACACACACACACACACATGCCGGAAAGTGCTGTCTCCAGCAAGGCTCTGTGATCATGTGGGCATGTTCATTCACGGGGCACACAGGGGCCTCAGCAAAGATTGACAGAGAGGAGAGAAAATGGGCATGTATAAAGACATCCCTACAGAAAAGCTGCTCAAAACTCATGCCCAGCGCACCACTTCTGGGGGTGTGGCGGGTGGAGGAGGACACAGTCTCTATGGAGCACCGGAAGCAAGGCTTCCAGGAGCCATGTCCTAGGTCCCAGGAGAAGAAGCATGTGTTGGCGTCTAGTGCTGCTGTGACATTACCACAGCCATAGTGGCTTACGACACACACTGACTATTTCAGTTCTGTAGGTCAGAAGTCCGACGCAGATCTCACCAGATCTAATCAAGGCGTCAGCCGGGCTGCTTCCTTCTGGCGGCTCCAGGGGCGACTCTGTGCCCCGGCCTTTTCCAGCGTCAGGAGACCCCTCACATTCCCTGGTTCCCAGGCTCCTTCGTGAAAGCTGCTGTTCTCTGCTTTTTTTTTTTTTTTTTTTTAGGATTTTTATTGGGGAATTGGGGAAGGGGAACAGACAAGTTGCTGTCCTTTTGTTCTTCAGTCTAGTTGTGGAGGACGTTGCTTCACTGGCCCAAGTTGGCACCATCATTGCGCTCTTCCCGGGCGAGGCAGATCAGTCGCCGGCTTCTGGATGGCCGCTCAGTGCGGCTGCTGGCCGCTCACGCTGGCTGCTGGCTACACACGGTAGCCCATGGCAACCCACTGCCACAGGGGCTGCAGCCTACGCTATCGCCGGCGACTCACGGGCAGCCCAGCTCCAGGTTGAGCTGTTGTTCAGCATCTTAGCTGCAGAGGGCAGTGTCACTGGCCCTCATATGTGGGATTCGAACCGGGCCCTCTGGCGTCCCAAGCCAGGTCTTAACCAACGCGCCACTCAGCCGGCCCCATTCTCCGCTTTTAAGGACTCATGTGATTAGGTTCTGCCCACCCAGGTAGTCCAGGAGAATCTCCCCATTTCGAGGCCCTTAACCACATCTGCAAAGTCCCTTTTGCCAGGAAGGTAAATTTTCACAGGTTCCACTGCTTAAAAACGCTGACCACCATCTGAGCCTCCAGTGAGTGGTAATCTTTTTGTTGGTGGAGGGTCTGGCCTCGATGACAAAAATGCAGCGTCTGCAAAGCACAATAAAATATGTTTTAAAAATGCCCCCATGACAGACACGGCCCTGCGGCCTAGAATGCAGCAATGACAAAGTGGCTTCAGCCCTGCCACTGGCACACTGGGAGGACAGCCGGCCTGGGCGGGCTCGCTCAGGGTACAGACCAAGGATGAAGGACTGAGCGGCCAGACCAGGCGGAATGTCCTGGTATCGGTGCCATCATCCAGGATGTGGCTGGAGCAGCTGGAAGTGACAATAACAGTCAGCCGGTTTGGCTCAGTGAAACCTGTTCATGGAAACAATTCTCTGTGTTAAAATCCACATGGGTGTTCTCTCCCCACCATGGTCCCGGAAACTGAACCTCCAAGACAGATTCTGGGGTCCGTGGGATCACCTCCCAGGCCTTGAGCACAGGGCTGAGCTCCATGGGAAGTGTGGTGCCATGCCCCGCTGGGCATCACAAGTAGTGAAATGACCGCCGGTGGGTGCTTTGGGTGAAGTCCTTACTACAGCCGAGTCCTGGGAGGCCAGGGGACAGCGGCCTTCACGTGCAGGAAGGACAACTTCAAGGACTGTGGGCTGGGCAGCTATTTCTATACCAGAGACCTACAGAAAGAAATGACAAGAGTGGAGTTTAAACTCAGAGCTCAAGTGACAGTTAGGAAACCAGAGAACTTCTATCACACCCCCAGAGAATCTGCTGGGTGCTGTGGTCACGGAGTTAGCCTTGCTTGAAGTCAGACACAGGTTTTGTGAATACTGCAGAATTACATCAGTGGAATTCAAAGGCCTGACAAGTATGCCGTGTGCACACGGTCTGGAAAGGAGTCTGACCCTGATGTTTGGAACACAGCATCCGAATACACTCGGATCAGGCTGACAACCTTGCACCTTGAGTCTGTCGGAACCTGAGTGTGTTTCCGGCTGGTGGCAATGGCCTGCTCGCCTGTGTCGAAGGAACCCAGCCTTCTGTCACTTAAGGATGCAGGGCTCACTCTCCTCCATAGACCAAGCCTTACAGTGGGAGCTGTCACTCCTGAGATGGTCCCCTGGTGTCCTTGGAGATGGTGCAGAATCCAAGTGCTTACCTGCCAAGAATGACGGGGTGTGTTTGCTGTGATGGACAGTACGACCGTGGTAATCAGAATGCTTTAACCCACGTGACCTTGGCTAATGGACCTTGAAGAATGAAATGAATAGCGGCCAAATGTCCAGACGGAAGCCAGTTCCCAGACCCCGAGTCTCTTGATTAAAGGGAAGGCTGAGTGCGCCAAGGAAGCACCCTGCAACCCTGCCATAAATGTAGGCTGTGACTCTGCCTGTGATTCTTCCATACAGACCTCTGGCCATTTGCTGGGATCACGTATGCGCCGGAAAATGGGATGCCAAGACCTCATGGAGATTTCTGGACGTTGGCTCTGAAGTAACATTAATTCTTAGGAAATGTTTAGAAAATTCCTAGAAAAGCAAAATGCCACTTGCTCTACCAAAGTGGGAGCTGACAGCAGTCGGGAAAATGGAGTTTGGGCCCAAATCTGACCGGCAGGAGACCTCACAGGTCTGCAGCACCCCCAGTTCCAGGTTGTACCTTTGGAATAGACACGCATCCCCCTTGCAGAGTCCCCATGTTGGTTACCCTGACCTGCAGGTGGGGACCGTCGTCAGAGGAAGGGCTAGGACAGCAGCCCAGAAGCGGCAGACATCACCGTCGTCACCATGGGAACGGGAAGGTGGGATGCCCCACACAGCCCTGTTTGGTTTGCCTCTTTGGCATATATAGGTGGCACATGAATGTTGGAAACTGACAACGAACTGTCATAAACTTGATTTGGTAGTGACTCCAACGGCAGCCACTGCTCCAGATATTGTTCCAGATGGGTGTCCAGCCTGAGGCAAACGACACAGTCACTGGCGCCTGCTGTGCTGTCAACTGACTGTTTCTTCCCCCATTTCCTCAGGTGAACACAACTGGTTAACATTGTAGCTTCCATGTGACAGTGTGGCTGAGGTGACTTGATGCTGCATCAGTATGGTGGCTCATACAAAAGGCCCCTCCAGGCCCACACTCTGTGCCTGGGAAGCTGGGGACCTCTGTGGACTGGGTCCGTGGCCCCCAGCCCTCGGGCCTCCAGCTGGGTTTCCCAGTGGGAGATACTGGTAGGACAGGAGGGTGGGGTTGGTGACTCTCGCCCAGCTCTCGTCCTTCCGTAGCGCTGCAAACTGGCCACGTTCTAGCAAAGACCACGGCAGCTGTCCCCCAGCCCTCTCCCACGGCTGCGGGGTTCACTGGGCCCAGTGACCACCCCCTCAGCTTGCTCCTGTAGACCTGGGGGCATCAGCAGCTCCCAGGGTTGCCAGCCCCCACATGCTAGATTTCTCCTAACCCTGCCCCATGTTTGTGAACAGTTCTTGTCCTGAGTGCTCCTGACCACCTCTTCTGAAGGTGGCAGCTGCTTCCTGCTGGGACGCTGAAGATTCAAGGAAAAGGATGAATTCATTTACCTAATATGGTCTGAGCGGTTACCATGTCTTTAGCGTTAGGCACTGGAGAAACCATTGAAACAAAACCAGACACTCTCACTGCCCTCTCGGAGCTTTCTGGAAGAGACGGGCATTAGCACAGCAATCACACAAGCAAAGGGAAATTACCAACTAAACACAAGGAAGGATGGCACACGGTGCTGCGAAGGCTCCCAGGAGGGGGGGGGCTCCTCCCCCACACTTGGGTTGACATTCCAGGCAGTGGAACAGCATGTGCGAAGGCCTCGGAGCTAGCAAGAGCACAGCACGTTTGAGGAATTTAAGAAACACTTACACAGAGGAGGCCGAAGGGGCGGGAAGACGCGCACAGGCGGCAGGCCCGGCCTACGAGGCCCCTCAAAGGCTTTATCCTAACAAAGAACAAGTGTTGGGGGGCCGCTTAGATGGCCCCAAGGACTCATGCCTTCTGAGATTCATGCCCCGTGTGGTCCCCTCCCTTGGAGTGTGGGCTGGACTCACACACTTACTTCTAATGAACAGATCATGGCAGAGGTGATGGGATGTCACCTCTGAGAATGAGTTATAAGAAAAGACTGTCTTCCACTTTGGATGCCCTCTCTTGTTCTCTCTCTCTGTTGGCACACCAGCTGCCATGTTGTGAGGACACTTAGGCAGCTTATAGGTGGCCTGTGTAGTGAGGAACCCAGGTGAGGCCACCGCCAACGTCCACATAGGTGAGCCTGCAAGCAGGTTCCCCAGTCCCAGGTGAGCCTTCAGGTAACTGCAGCTCCAGCTTCTAGCGAAACTACAACCTCACGACACACTGTGACCAGATACCCAGCTAAGCCATGCCCAGATCCCTGACCCACAGAAACCACGGGATACTAAATGGTGTTTTTTTGCTTTAAGCTGCCACATTTGAGGGTAATTTGTTACCCAGTAACAGGTAACGAATACACAGCAGATTGCTTAGGGGGTTGGCATATTTCATTCATTCAACAAACACTAAAGAGCTACTATGTGTCAGGCATGGATGTTGAGGTTGCTGACATAATAAATTTTATCAATTTTTATGCAGTTACTTTTTGAGTGGGTAACACTGTAACATGGCTTGAGGTTCTAACGTAACAACAGGGGACAAAGGGAAAAGCCTGTCCCCAGAGATGCAGACACTCGGCTCCCTTACCATGGCTTAATGTGATCAGTTTCTGGTGTACCCTTCCAGAAAGATTTTATGTAGGCAAAAACAAATATATATTGGTTCACACGCCATTCTGCAACTTGCTTTTTCACATAACCATATATCTTAAAGAACATTCTATGTCTGTCATAGAGAATTTCCTCATTGTTTTCCATGGAATTCCATTATATGAATGTACCCTTACATATTGGGTTGTCGGAAAAGTCATGACAGATTTTTTCTGTTTTTCATTGCAAAAATGCATCATGACTTTTCTGACAACCCAATACTTTAACCTGTTCCCTATTGATAATTCCTTAGGTTAGTTCCAATCATTTGCTATTTCAAACATTGCTGCAACAAATAATCACCACACAATGTTTTGCCCCCAAAATTTCTGAAGCTGGGTCCAAAAGTGTGCAGATGTGTAGCTTTGATAAGTAATGTCCAAGCGCTACTGCAGTGGAAAGGCTGGATAAAGGCTTCTAGTTACATGGCCACCAGCAGAAGATAAGAATGTCTGCATCCCCCACGATTGTCAGCAGTGTTTTCACTCCACCCATCTGATCAGAAGGAAATGGCATCTCAGCGAGGCCTGAAGTGATCCTCCCATATGATGTGTGAGGTTGAGACTCTCTGGACATGTTTAATAGCTGCTGACATGACTACAGGTGTATGGTAAAAAAATAAGAATTAGAAATTAAACAAACAAGCACACTCTGGCTGCCAAGCGAGGGCTGTGCGACCAAGAGCGGATACACGGAGGCCAGACGAAGGGGGGTGGACAGCAGCAGATGGACCCGAGCTATTAGAAAGACCAAAGAAAGAGGCCTTTGTGCTGTGTGTGTGTGTGTGTGTGTGTGTGTGTGTGTGTGTGTGTGTGCGCACTTAGGGGGATGGTTGATGGGGACAGGCAGTGGCAGGATTCATCTTTACTCTGTGGCTTGTGCTACCTGAAGGAAGGTGGGGCCCTTCGCTGAGGGAGGCAACAGGAAGGTGGTCCAGGTTTGTGGGGGGAGAACAAATGTGTTTCCCTGTTGCTATGAGAACCACTAACGTCTTGCATTTACTGTATGCTGTGCCTTATTCCAGCACCTTAGCAGAGTTTTCAGTTGCAACACATTATCTCGGGTTCTGCATATTTAAAATGCTAGTAAATCACATATGCAAAGAGATATGTCAAGCCCTGTGTAAAATGTTAATTAGTTCTCTGCTGTCTACAGTGGCTGAGGGATCATGTGTGGGAGAAGGTGGCAGGGGCTGGGGTCAGCTAGAGTGTGTTCAGGCCTGGACGCAGCTGCTTAAATGACTCACCCACATGATACAGATGGGCAGGGCTCCCCGAAATCCATTTCCTCTCACCTGCGGCCTGCAAAGCCAGCTGGGGCACCCAGAGTTCTTCAACTATTCACTTCCGAGGGGCATTCTCATCCGGGTGTGTGGCATTTATGTTCTCAGGGTGGCCACACTGGGACCCATCCATCTCTGGTCAGGTACCAGGTGATGCTAATGCTGCTTATTGGGGGCCACCTGCCCTAGACAGTGGGGCAGGGAACTGTTCTGAGTCCATTATTCCAAGCTGAGGAGGGAGTAACTGCAAAAAAAAGGGAAAAAAAGAGTGGTTTTTAAAGTTATATATGTATATATCTTCCTGGAGGAAAAAAGAGCATTACCTTAAAATATCAGCTAAATTGGACAGCTGATAGTGTGACCTTCCAATGTCATTTTTCACCCCATGACCCTCGCTGCTCCCAACCTTCCAGCTC